ACCAATTGCATGAAACACGACAAGCCATGAATATTGAATGTTCGCGGCGGTCTCCGTGTGTGTGCAATTTTCAACAACTACTCTAGTATGGTGCGGTGTGGTGTGTGTGTGTGTGTGTGTGTGTACATGCGGGGGAGGGGGGTGGGTGGTGCGGGGGTGTGCGGTACCTCCAGTACGACGTCGCCGACGCCTCCTCGCGCCGCCCTCGCTGGCCGCGCGCCCCTCCTCCGACGATGCCGACTCTACAACACACGCGCCGCTCACTCTACGCACTCGCCCCCACACCCCGACACCCCGACACCCCGACACCCTCACCTCCCCATACGCCTGCATCATGCACTACCACCCTTATAATAAATTACCATTATCATTAAGTAATTTCCCCGTTAATATGAGACCCGTCTATATATAATAATACTTAAAACATTATATAAATACTTAAGGCGCACAGGTAAACACAACCAGCACAACGTTGCTACCCCGCTCTCAGCGGTGCATGCAATACAACTATACAACACAATATTTCACACTCAACATAAAACTATACACATATACTTAAGCACTAATTCAAATGTAAACATAGATTTACTACTAACACTTTCAAATACAAATAAAAAAGATTTTCAGTTCTTATAGTTAAACTCTAAAAGAAACCATTGTTCCGAGAAGCACGTATTTAAAACGAACATATATGCTATAAAATATATAAACTAGAACTACATTTTAATTAGCAAATTATGTAACATTTTCAGATTTATATACAAGAAAAATATTTTTAATAATTTTGTCATTTATATGTCTGTATTGTGTAAACTTCGAAATATTTTTTTAAATCCAGTCACAGTAAACTATTTAACATCTAGGAGGAATAGAAGTAACTATCAATTAAAATAAAATTCAAGTGTTAAGTCAAGTGCTCGTTTCACATTGTCCAAGTTAAGTGCCAGATAACCAATAAAGAAAGAAACTTCCTAAGTGTTACATGTTCTTTGAATAAATATTCTGTAACAACTGTGATAGCATAAACTTTATTCATCACAAAGATGCAACCAGCTCGTTAGTCAGTTGTGTTTAGTGAAGGAGGCACAGAGGTCTGCATGTGTGTGTGAGTGTGTACCTCTGTCTGCGCTGGAGACATCCTGTACATCAGGTGCGACTGCCTCCTCCTCCGTCGGCCGCCGCCGCTCCTCGCGCGCACCCTCGCGTCCTCCATCGCGCCCTCCATCGCGCCGCCGCCCGCTCTGACACACAAACATTTCGCTTTTGAATATATTACTTTATAAATATTTAAAAATTCCACACATAATGTTAACAGCCTCTGATATTCCGGAACTTCGCCATCAATAGGCATGAATATCATTAGATTGTCATTATTGCGAGTAAGATTGGTTAACGCGCAGAAAGTAAATAACCAGTTTCGGACTTGGCTTAGACTATGAATGAGTAAGAAATGGAGGTATGTACTTGTTGTGTACTGACAGTGTCGCGCTGGTCGCGAGGCTCCCGAGGCTCCCGAGGCTCGCGCGGCTCTCGCGGCTCCCGGGGCTCGCGCTGGTCGCGTTGATCACGTTGGTCGCGCGGCGGGCGGGGGTGTGCGCGCCCGTTCTCCAGCGGTACGCGCCGCTCCTCACCGCGCCGCTCACTAGACCTGCGTACGAACAACACAATTTGTAACACCAACACGAGAAAATGACATAGAACCCGTTTTCATTTAAGAGTTTAGTTAGAAATGTGCAGTTAAAGCGAGATAGTTGAGTGATGTTACCTGTTGGGGCGCGGCGGACGCGCTCGACCGCGATACGCGCCTCCGCTGTCGCCGCGCTCCTCGCCCAGCTCCGGCGTCGTCCGTCTGCCGCCTGGAAATACATCAAAATCTCTTATTAACACACACAATGCACAATGCACAAGGCAAGTAAGCAATAAATAGTAAACATAAACATGTACAGCATGTATGAGTTTCTGATTTTCGAAAGTAAATGTGTGCGCACGTACCTGGCGGGTACCTCTGCGGCGGCGGGCGGGGGCGGCGCGCGCGCGTGGCGGGGGCTCCGCGCGGCGCGGGGAACGAGGCGCCCGACCCGCCCAGCACCACGCGCAGCTGCTGGTCGATCTCCTGCTTCTCCGCGCGCAGCTGCTCCACCTCCTGCACCAACACAATTGCACCATTTGTGACAATGTCTATTTTACTCATGTGGCGTAGTGATATTAGTGTGTGAAATTAGTGCGAGAGGTTACCTTGAGGTGTGCGACGTGGTACTCGACGAGCACCTTGGCGTTGGCG